CTCAAATATGACGTCACAAAGCTCTGCCCCTCCCCCCAAAAATAAAACATGCTTCAAATCGCTTTAAACTATTGTCATTTTAGTGCGTATTTAATGTGGAGCTGCACTCTGATGTTGTCGGAGAAAACATTTATAAAAACGTATATTTAATTAAGTAGAACGTGTTGTCTATATTTATGTGACGTCACATTTCTCAAACCCCCCCCTCCCCTCGTCACACATCGTCACAAATGTCTGATCACCCCCCCTAGGTGCGTGACGTCATTTATGGACGGCCCCTAAATATGATATCCGACGTGTCTGGTACTGGTCCTTATTCACGGTCGACACACCTGAGGCTGATGGACAAACGGGTATGATGTATGTCACGTGTTGTCTGTATATGGAGACAAACGGAATCGTGCTTTTGTTTACTAAGACCATGACAGTGGCGTCACTGCCATGGGAAGAGTTGTTTGTATCACAATCTGTTTGGCTCCAAGATTGTGATTTGTCTCGCACGGCGGCACCCAGTCCATATCTCGGCTCCTCTTGCCGACTCACAGCATTACGCCCACGGTCTTGAACAATTTTTTGTTGCTTTTTCTGGAAGACTTTGCAATTTTTTCCTGGATTTTTCTGTTTGCACATAGTCACATAGTCTCTTTAAGATGTTTTCTTGTTCATGTTTTTGCTTGTTGCGGTTGCACCCGATTCAAGAGCCGAATGGCTCACAGGGTTATACCAAATGAACTGAAACTGAAACATTTAGCGCTATAGCGGCGCTCCGTTTTAAATACTTTTTTTATATGGGGCCGTCCATAAATGACGTCACGCACCTGGGGGGGGTCAGACATTTGTGACTATGTGTGACGATGGGGGGGGGGGGGGTGAGAAATGTGACGTCACATGAAAATGCGCAACTTCAAATAAATATAAACACGTTCTACTTACTTAAAGATTTTTTTATAAATGTTTTCTCCTACAACATCAGAGTGCAGCGCCACATGAAATACGCACTACAATGACAAGAGTTTAAAGCGATTTGAAGCATGTTTATTTGGAGGGGGGGGGGGCAGAGCTTTGTGACGTCATATTTGAGAGGGGGTGGTCTGACTTTTTGTGACGCCGTGTGACGAAGGGGGGGGGGTCAAAAATCCTCCAAAATCGCGTGACGTCATTTATGGACGACCCCTATATACTGCTTAAAACATCATGCTGGCTGCCAAGTGGGGCCCCAACCCTTGGTCATCGCGCGCTTGTGACCCAGTGCTGTCGAGGCAGCAAGGTTGTGGATCACACACAGATGTCGTGAAACTCCCTTGCAGTCGAAGTCGATGAGCCATACCCTGGCTTCGCCAGAAGCCACTACAGCAGTGAGGACTGATCTCCATCTGTCCCTATGGAATGGGAATGGAGTGTTGTCCCATGGCAGACTTGGGCTTTTATCCGGTGGCTCCCGATTCCTCGGACATGCATAAACACTCATTATTGGCTGAAAATAATCTTAAGAGGATTGCAAAGCTCGGGCAATTATTGGCACCGACTCATCGCCTGACGACTGCCTCCCCGCTTGTGTGTGGTGGTTCCTCAGTGATTGCAAGATATTGGCATGAATGAGGCTATATATTAAAAAAAACATTAGTGTTGCATTTTGCGGTGAATGGGGTCTCATTTAACAAGGAGTGCTTGAGACAATAAGATCTCATTAATTATCCATCAGAATGTTGAACGAGTCTGACTGCTGATGAGACCCATAAAGTTGAAACCGCTCCGACTGTCAAGAATTATTTCAAATATTCCAGCGGAATCGTTCAAACATCCCAGCGCTCTGGATGGTCACAGCGGCAGCCATATGAAGCCACACGTGACTGGCCCACATCAACTCGTGGTACATTTCCCCTCGCGTCTCAGCTAAGCTATTATATCCACCACATTCTCAGCATCACCACCATCTGGCTTTAGGTGTTATGCTTTTTCATCATCAGTCATTCTCTATCCACTACTGGGTGGCTTTTCCAAGATATTGAAATCTCTCTGTGTTACAAAGGTGACACATCCTTCAAGGGCAACATCTTAAGTCTTATCGCCATCTGCCTTTAGCTTTTCCCATGCGGGTAGCATAGCCGTTGGGAGCACGTCAGTAGAGTACAACATCGTATTGCACCGCCCGCTGTTGCCCATCACGTCGCCCCACGACAGCCTGCACAACAACCTATTCCGCATGGTAGTCGCCCATCCAAGCACTACGCAGGTTCTGAGATCTGTCGAGAGAGGGCGCATTCCGGTCGAGATATCATTAAGAGGCTCAAGATTAACGACCGACGATTAAACAAATAATATCCAAGGACATGTCATCTGAAAACAAAGCATTTTATTATCATATCATCTCATCAAATGTCACTTAACCATATGTACAGTTTAAACTACACGCCACATTCAAGGTGACACGGGGCCGCGCGTGTGTGTATGTACATGTGGAACGCGCGTGCATTTACACGTGCCCAGAACGCAGTCACAAGAGAACACGGGGGGGCTACATATGGGCTTAGGGCCAGGTTTAGAGATGGGGCTCGAGATTGGGAGTAGGCGCATCAGGTTTAGAGCAGGGTTGAGCAATCTTTTCCTTTGCGAGGTCCTTCAATACCTCTGGTGGGCAACCACACATTAACACGCACGCACACACACACCTCGGACACGTCTGTGACTGCAAGAGGCTGAGCGTGATATAGTTAAAAACAGAAGTGTCGGCAGGTCAAAGATGTTCGCCTCTAGTACCCGATTAGCACAGCTAAGATGCTTACAATGGCTCATGATGAGGGCCGAGGGCCGTGTGAAATGAAGTCGCAGGTCGGTTCCTACCTACGGCCTGCCGAGATCCGCACCCCCGAGCTCGAGTTGGCGAAACGTGATTATGGGGCAGCAACGTGATGATGGGGCACCTCCGATTAGCACTGTTGGCCACGTACGGCGCGAAAGAAGTTCAACATACTTATGGGGCAGGATGAAAGTAGCGGGTGCATGGACAAGCTGCACCCATTACATACGACCTATACGAATAGACGTCGATTCCATTTCACGACTGATTCAATGCATCATTACACCCCTGGTTATACTGTTAGTGTTGGGTAATGGAAATATTACTGATAGGGCGGTTAGGGGATAGTAAGAGTTCATATTAAGGGTAGGGTTCGAGTTGTAATCATCGTAGTTATGTTTTTACATAGTTTGGTCAATTCATTTTTTATGGAGTGGTTTGCTTGATGTGGAAGAAATTTGAGTGCCCAGAGAAAACCCACAAAACATAAGAGGGACATAACACTCAATGGTCCCATAAATTGGTTCATGAACCCACTTGCTGTGCTGCCATCTCCTGGCCACCTCGCAGCCCAGCGGGTTTGGGAGTTTCATAACTCTGTGATCCACAACCCTTGCCTCCAAAGCCCTGTTTCACAGGCGTGCACAACCACACCAATCGTAAGAGTTGGTGCGAGGGTTAAGGTTTTGAATAAAGTTCGGGATATGGTTTGGCATGTTAGGGTTATGGTTAAGGGCAGGGGTCGGCAACCAAAATAACGAGCCATTTGATTCGATTTCAGTAAAAAAAAACCTGAATATTTTAAGAGCTGCCAATGCATGTGAATCCGAGACAGTTCTTAATGAATAACGTCACGAAGCAGTGCTTAGAGCCACAGATTGCCGACCTCTGGTTTGGGACTACTATTAGCAAAAGGGCTCGAGCGATGGAATTTGGAAGTGTTCGCATAAGGGCTAACATTAGCTCCAATTTTATGTCTAAGGTTATATAGTTTGGGATATGGTTGGGGCAAAGCGAGTCCAAGTGAATATCCCAATCTCACACCTGCGCGAGGAGGGGCTTTCCCTCAGTCCCGTGTCCGTTTGGCAACGCAGTAGGAAACACTGATGCTGCCATTTAATAATTCTGCCCCCCCTCCATCCCTATTACCAAACGTCATCTTGGATCCCAAACCCGATTGTGATCGATGGTAACAGCACATCGCAGGACAGCGGCGTGTCTCAACACACGATACGCAGGGGGCAGGGGTTACTGTTTCCATGGCCCGCATCGCCAACTGTGGTGGCAGCCAGTGGGTCCCCTTGGATATTAAAAACTGGAACAGCCTAAAAAATACAATGCATGTAACAATTCGCATGTAAACGCAAAATCGCGCAGCGTGGTGGATGGATGGCAATAATTGGCAATAGAGAAGTAAATATCAACGCATGGTGACCTCCGTCATCAAAACATCGAATGTCTGACTCCACAGAGTTAGGTGCAAAAACGGCCTCTTACCCACCAGATCCCTTTTGTCACGGACGCGTGGCCTCACGTTATCAGATGCATAATTCATCAATCAACATCGACTCTCACGAGACACAATACATACACTGAACCATGTATTCCAATCAATTACTGATGATGTATGCAACGTATACGCAAGTTGTATGCAAATTATACTTTCAGGATAATGGCATGAGGCAGATGAAAGCTAAAAACAAGGGACCTACATACAGATGAGACGGACAATACAGAAGACAGCATAGAGGAGACAGAAGAGACACAGTATAGAGGCAGAACTGGACAACAAATTGCTGAATCGAATTGTGAAAGTTGACAGTGAATCGTCCACAGGCCTACACACCAGCTCTTTTTCACGTGGGTTCATGCGATCAATGGGTTAACACTACCACTTTACTCAAAACGTTTAAAACACCACTGCCTCTTTGGGGAGGGATACACAGTAGCCTCTCGATTATCCGCGCGAATGATGGGGATGACGGCCGCGGTTAATTAAAAATTTCGGATAATCAAAAATTATACAATGCTCGCGGATCTCTATGGCAACAACCAACGATCGACCGATCGACGCGCGTGTTGAGTGATAGTTTATTGCTCCTGCGCAGAAGACTCCACCCACTAAGTGGATAGCAGAACTACGACAATCAAAATCAATTAAACTCCATGCACGGTTGTAAAGATACGCAACTACTGTACTGTAGAGGTAATGACGTGGTTTTCGGATGAACCGAAGCACATATTCGTTCGGTTATTAATTGTTGTCAAAATCTCAGGCGCGAGGTTAATCCGCAAATCGGATAATCTGCACGCAGATAATCGAGAATCTACTGTAATTATCATTGAGAATTTTTTTTTACCTGGTTTGTCAAAACCTGTTTAGGTCAAACTGGTGGGACTAAACTAGGTTAACATCATATATTCTACTTAAAAAATAGCCTCTCTTGAAACCCCAAGCAAAAGTGGGGGGATAATAAATGAGAGGTGGATTAGGAAGGGAGGGGGGGGGCAGAGAGGGGAGTGGGTGAAAGAGGATGGACCCACGCAGTTATAACACCAACCCTTCACGTGGGAACTGAAACACGCGGTCAGACGGGGAAACGCAACCCGGACGTCTGGTCCCGTACGACGCAAACACGTGCGCAAATAAAATAAAACATCGATCGTTCTGGTCAGAAAAAAAAACTCCCAAGATGAAAAAGAAAACGCCTCAAATATAAAACGGCAGAATCTTTGTGCATGCAGCGTTCAAAATGCAAGAACGCCGAGCGGATAGATTGGTCACGGAAAGGCATCAATTACAGTCGTTCTCAAGACAAGCACAACCCGAAACACACACGCGCCTGCATTCACTCCATTTACGGAGGCTCAGCCAAGCCGAGATCTCATGGGGTGTCCACCAACATTGGGTGCGAAGCCTCGTTACTGAGAAAATCACATTTCCGATGTATTCTTTTCATCGCCATTGTATACGCAATAATGGCAATCAAAATCTATATTCCAATAGTCGTGCTATTATTAGGCAAAACAATATTCCTTCGGGGAGCATTGTAACATCACCTGTGAAAAGAATGGCGTGTGGAAAAGGACATCATCTCACTACCACCGAGATCCCTTCAAATGCCTCTACAGCCGCACACAGCATGATGGTGCACCTTCCCGTGCCCGCCATCGAGGGCTCGTCGCTTTGCAAAGCACACTCGGGGCACCGCACTAGCGCACATGCACTGCGGTAGAGAGTGGTGGTTGGTGCTTGGCAGCCAAACTAAGATTTTATTCAACTGTCCCATCACTGGAATACATTTCCCGTGACGTGTTCGTGTGCGGGTCATCGGTGATCGAACTAAGGTCATCAACTCAATACACTTCAGAATGTGGATTAATCATGGCTGGGCAGCTAAAATCCATAATAAAAGCCAGGATCTCAACCGGTGTCAGCTCAGTGTCTCCGACACAGCCATTATGAGCCCCTGCAAGCCACCCCATGAGAGTTGGCCAATTGAGGCAGGCACACGCTTCCGACTTTGAAACTTCTTACCCTGGAATAAGGGCAACTCGGTGGAAGCTAAAACATTATTAGCTCGGTAATGAATTGTCCCCGTCTCGCGGTTCAATGATTTGGTATGATGCCAGGGGTCATGATTTGATCATCTTTTTTTTAATACATACGTGATGTTCAGTACTTCTGGATGGCTGCAGCTGTCCCGCCAATGAACCCAACGTACGGTCATTGTGCTTCTTATAACATCATGCGGCACGAATATCGTGAGCATCACAATCACTTTTAAGCAACATTGTTACACCGCGAGTGATTATCCCGTGGATGAACTTGGCCCCACCATGAGAATGTGTAATTTCCACCCATGTCTAAGAACAGCCTAAAGAGATGAGTGTGTCTCACGCTCGTTTGGGTAGAAAGATGCGATGACATTGACACTGGATCACAACTAGGGTCGATAACAATTGCAATTGTGGCAATTGGTAACGAATTGCATTCACTACTGTCTATCATAAGTGGGCGAACTGTCGATTTAACGTGCTTGTGGAAAAATAAATAATGTTTATGCTTGCTGGTTGAATTATCTGCTCCTCACTAAGGATGAGCCGAGTGGCCTCGTGACCAAAATACATCACAAACAAGTAAACCGATTACTTTGCGAGGCAGAAAAAACACTCAAAACGTTTCTGAAGCTGCATTTACATGTTCAGCATTACCTGTGTTATCTGGGTCTTCCCTCACCCCGATTACCTTGGACGTATGTAGAACTTCTTTCACACCGTACGTAGCCAACCGAGCTAATCGGAGAGGGTCGATTGTAATTGGAAACTTGCCAAACAATAGAGCTGTAATCATAATTATGATCAGGACTTAAAATGTCAATATTTCCGGGTTGCTGGTAGACAGTGGAGTAGGTGGCACATGGCTGGTAACCAAACAGACCCAGCTAATATGAAGCCCCGATTACAATCGACCCCAGCTCTGCCTTGGAATTCAACGAAGCAAAAGAGGTGTTGCCAGCCATACCCTGTCTCTCACACCTCTTTTCGACAATACAACCCTGCCAAGCCAGCTCGGCTCAGGAGGTTCCCTGGTTGTTTTCCACTGTAGATGGTGAGCCGTGCCGTTGCTGTCGCGCAGTTGACCAGGACTCACATCCCACGCAATCAACGCGTCATTAGCCCCACCACCGCTGGCCCTGTTTTGCCCCAAGCCAGATTCAATGTCACAAGGCTAGCGTAGTACGATGATTCAGTTCTGGCTCAGCATGGCAAACAGTCGGTGAAAAATCACCCGTACCACGAGGGCCCTGCGTTGCCTCGGCTCGCCGAGTATTTCTATCCATCATACAACCGAGCCGAGCCAGCACGGGGCGGGGGAGCGGCGGCATGGTACGGGTGGCATACGCATCATACTTCTTTTCCATCGTACAACCGAGCCGAGCCCACGAGGCGGACGCTGTGGAGAACGGAAAAAACGACGGGACGATGGGAAATGAGGTGAGGACGAGGCGTGATGGAGGCCATCACACCCTCTCCTGCACGAAGACGGTCTCGTGGGGGAAGAGGCCTGCCTGCCGTAGCGTCGTGTCTCCTCCCAGTGCCGCCAGCTTCCGCCGTGGGAAGTTGGTGACGAGCTCAAAGCGGTCGCCTGGGAAACCGCGTGCCTCAACTAGGCTCAGCAGGGCCTGGTGGTGCAGGAGGAGGGGTGGTGCAGGAGGAGGGGCGGTGCAGGAGAGGATTGGATTGTCGTTAGAATCTACGCGAGATCCGTGTGCGTACCAAAGAGTGTACGTGTAGTTGGTGCTCATTAAGAGCACTTTCCCCAACAGCCTATAAGGCTACATACACATTGTCTGGGGATCTTTGTCTTTGTGAGAGAGAGTGCATATGTACACATATGTAGGTAGATGTGTACATGTATTTGCATGCGTGTGCACGAGTGTTGCTAGTGTATGTGATTTATGCATGTGTAAGTGTGTGAGTGTGTAAGTGTGTGAGTGTGTGAGTGTGTAAGTGTGTGAGTATGTGAGTGTGGGGCTTACAAAAGTAGTAACAGCTGAATCTTCATCACATGCACATATTTCGTTTGTGTGCGATGTCAGTACTTTTAATGTTTGTACACATTTGTATTCGTGTGTGCGAAATGTGATGGTGGTACACGTGTGTATTTATGTTTTCGTGGTGTACGAGTATGGTTCTATGTGGTGCATGCATATGCTGTGCACGTTTTAAAGATAAGAGTGGAGATGTGGTGTGTGTGTGTACAATATTCGTGGTGTGTTTTGTGGTGCACATACGTATGAATCTATATGTGGGTGTGTGCATGTTGCGAGAGTGTCTATGTGCAGGGTGTGGTGTGTATTCGAGTGTGCGGTGTATTCGAGTGTGCGTGCCATTCGCGTGAACTCTGTGTACCTGTCGTGTGCTCTAGGGTGCGTGCGTGCTTTGTGCTCACTCACCGTTAACGTTGCCTCTGCCGCCATCACCACCTGCTCGCGTTTCCCATCTGGGAATCGAACCATGAGCCGAGACTGGGGGCCTGAGGACAGAGACAGACACGTACACACGTACATTGAGCAGTCCCCTTCCTTAACCGCCTTCCATTCCTCTCTTAAAACTTAACACTTCTCTGTTTCCCATTCTCTTCCCTCCCTTCGCACCTCCACTACTTCCCATCCCTCCCCTTACCTTTTGTGACCCCTAAATACGCTCGATCGTGTTCACTCATTCCTCAACCTTGCACGACCCCGTTTTTTTAAACCGCGTTAAGCACCTTGAGTGAAGGCGCTCTATAAATATAAAACACGTACACACCGACAGGGACGGCAAGCACATACACCACACCATGAGCCCAGGAGACCTGAAGCCTGAGACAATTTCATGACCATGTACAGAATTTTTGTCAATCCACTGCTGCATAAAATCCTACCCATGCCATGCGGGTCACGGGGGTGATTTGCACCAACCTACTGAGCCGTGGAGTTGAAATGAGATCTAATAACCCCCACAACTCGCATGGCGTGCGGAGGCCCTTATCGAGTGGTGGTTTAACAAAGGGCTGCACCTGTACACGTACATTTTTACTCCGCTACATGTCAGTCATAATAATTGCGAGTTTGTTGAGATTTTCAAAAATATATTTCGCTATCCCATAACTTATTTGTGTGCGAGCATGTGTGCTGTCTGGCGCTGGCTTCTTGATCGAATAAAGAGAGCACCCCCACGCTCCATCACCTTTCTCCTCTCCCCCCGCGCTGCCGCTGTCCTCCCACGCCGGGTTGGAGCCCTCGGTGGAGTCGACGCAGACGTCTTCATCGTCGTCGTCGTCGTCTTCACAAGTCCGAGCTGCAACCGCCCGCACTGCCCTCCGCCACCTGCACTTATGCGCAGACGGTGCATACACACGCACGCAGTGTGGAGGCGCACGCACGCACGCAGGCATGCACACAGGCAGCACACGCACACAGGCAGCACACGCGCGTATGCACACACAGCACACAGAATGCACACAGTGCACATAAACACACAGGTATGCAGACATAGGGAGGACACACACACATGCAGGCACAAGCGGTACGTACGCACACACAGTGCACACACACACGTATGTACGCACAAGCAGCAAATACACAAGCACACACAGACAGCACATACATAACATGTACCTTTGAAGTGCAAATACAAACGCACAAATTGCTCAGTCACATGTAGGTATGAAGACACTCAACACACATGCACGTGTAAGTATCAACACGTACACACACACGTACAAACACACACGCCACCTCGCGCACACGGCACCTCATTGTCGATCTCGTCGTCATCGTCGTCGTTGTCATCGTCAGAGGGGGCCCCTGACGAGTGGGGAGGAGAGGGGGCGGCCGACGGCCCGTAGTGCGTCTCCTGGGGGGACCGGCACGGCCGAATCAGCACAGATCGTTGCAACTTGGCAAAACACAGCAGCGCTCGTCAAGGCTTGGTGAGACATGACTCCGCAAGACACGACATGAATTAGAAGATAGAGCATGGCTCGGTAACACAAAGCATGACTCGGCTTGGTGAGACATGACTTCGTGAGACACGGCAAGAATTAGAAAGATACAGCATGACTTGCCAAAGACGCAAGGCAAAACTCGGTAAGATATGGAATAACTCGGGAAAACAGAGCATCGCTCGACAAGGCAGAGCAAGACATAACTTGGCATTACACACTAGTGCGACTTGACGAGGCATGATGTGATTCGGCGTGACATGACAATTTTACGTACCACACAAGGCAATTCGTCAAAACTCTGAATGGCACGGCATTACTTAAAGACACAACATAACTTGGTATACATGTACATTGAACTTCTTTCGCACCGATACTAAGCCATCCAGTGCTAATGGGAGTTGCGGAAGCAAACCCGCCAAATTGGCTGACAACCCAAACGATTCTTGTTCAGCCCCCAATGTAAAGAAGCATGCGCGATTAAACCATGCGACAGCCATCGCTGCGAGGCCCACACTCACCTGAAGTGAAGCCTGAATAGCGGCTTCCAGCTGACTGTCCTCGCTAGCATCTATCAGGCTCGCCTGGGAGAACAGGCCCAGATGGGAGGGCGTCACGTGGTGTGTGCGTGTTGTGGGGATATCACAATGAAGCAGACACGCGTAACCCAGAGAGAAGCATAATTAATAATGCCTGGTCTAGACTTGGCAGTTTTTACTGGGTGACACAGGAGAACAACGGTGCTATTTACGTAAGCAACAATAATCAAGTTTAGTGCAACGATCCAAACAATGACATTTCCTCCTTGTGGTTCCAGAGCATCTTCGATGTACCGTGGGCAGATATATAACGTGTCCTGCAAATATTGGGGGCTTTTGGAAGACCCTTAAACAAATGTGGATTCCATGACTTCTGGAATCAACATTCGATGAAATTTGTTTTTATTTAACAACCATCGTATTGAAGACATCCGTGCCATGTTCTCATCACCATCGTTACTTAATATACACCAAAAACTTGCCCATCGCAGGTTGTCCCATCACCGATTTGATCATCCGAGCCAGATTTACTGAGGTACAGTCCGCCAATTGCACCCCTGTGCGTGTATTAACCGTAAAACGTGCCACCAGCCTCACAGCGGTCGTTAAAAGTTAAAAGATCCCGCAACATTATTCTAAAAACAGTCGGCCATTGTGTGCTGGTATCACAATCCAAAATATGCCAAATTTGAAAAGTTAGTGGGAAACGAATAACAATCGTCGCCCCCGCTGCAAAATCTTAGTGGGACCCTCCTGATGAAGGGTCTTTCGAGACCCAGCGAGTGTCTCCTGGTTGAACAGTGCCGAGAGAGTGGCGAAGTTACCGTGCGCGAGCGTTTCTTTGGTTTCCCCGGTGAGGCCTCGTTGAGGTTGTACGTGGATAGGAACTCGGTGACGAGCTCAAGCAGCGAGTTGGCGTCGAGCCGATGGCACTCGAGGAGTTTCTCCCCTGCGTGTGCGCACGTGGAAAACAAAAACAGTCGGCACCAGGCTCACACCGCTAACCATTCATCATCAGCAGGCACGGTCAAATCCGCCTGCTGGATGAAGGCCTCCTCTAAGATGCCGCCACCACCACTTGCAATCCGAAGCGCCGTGTGTACATGTTAACGCTGTTTGTGCGCATATGTGTTAATAGCGGTGGGTGTGTCTTTGCATGTGTGAATGCGTTAATAGTTGCGCATGTGGGCATATTGCACGCTTGCCTGTCCTAGGGTCAAGCACGGACACGTATGGGAATTCCGTCAGCTTGTAGAACTGCATGTACCTCTGCCCCTCCTCACTGTCGTGATAAACCTGAACGGGCAAACACACCGGCGATGCAAACAAACGCATTAAGGCATGTTAGCGCACGTGTACAAAGATGAGAGAAATCAGGATATGAATGAGCAACGGTGGGGGGGGGGGGGGGTCGTGTGAGCAATCAGATGAGACCATGAGTGTAAAGTGAAAGAGCTGCAAGTGAGTAATGAAAGACGTGAGTGATCAGGGAAAGATGAATGATTAAATCATGAGGCAAGTGATCAAGCTATAGGTCGTGTGACTGAACGAGGGGTGAGAAATTGGGTGACCAAATGGGTAGACACTGAGCTATCTATAAGACGAATGGGTGAGCATTCATGCAAGTGACAGATCTAGAAAGGGGCTTAAATGGACTAAGCAAGCGAATGAGTGAGGTGTACATTTATCGAGAGAGAGCTCCAGCATGTGAGCAACTGTGATTGGGTGCAGTGGCCTCACCTGCCAGAAGATGAAGTGCTCACGGATGACAGCCTTGACTGCCTCGTGGCTCCACACGTCGCGGTTGAGACACTGGCAGGAGAAGTCCTGCACATTTTGGATATTCACCATGAGCCACTTGCGCTGCGACTGCCCCGTCTTCTTTGCCTGCCGAGCCCAGTGCGCATTCATGGTGGGAAAAGGGCAAGGAGTAAAGAATGTAAGCAGTGCCACCCAATTCTCTTTACATATTATCTTCTTCCCCAATTTGATCCTGCTTGTGATATTGGCGCCTTGTCAGGAGACTCCTGTTCAGGAAGGTCCTGCTACCTTGGGATGTTTGGCCAACTCTATTCGCGTTTGGCTTCACGTGTGAGGAAAATGGATAAACTGGAGAAAACCCACCACACGCACCGAGCGATAACACTCAGCAATGCCATCTCCTGGCCACCTCGCAGGCCCATGGCTACAACACGGCAAGCCATGGTCGGCCCACACAAGCGGACACCACAGAGTTACCACTGAGATTGCTTCCGATTCACAAACTAAGTGACAGGAATTTCCCACTCGCCCTTCCACTGAGAGTAATGTTTATTGCATGACAGTAACACTGATATCTTTGACACCGAGAGATTTAATTTGACCAAATCAAGGGAAAAACCAAGTCTACGTTGATGTTTTATTTTGTACAGCCAATGGTGACCAAGCCAACTTTACCTCACTACACTTGAAAAATTGGTTTCATCACAGGCAATTTTTGGGATTCGAACCCAGGATCTGAATGGTGCAAACTCAGCACTCTGGACCTTTGAGCCACACAGCCTTCTCAATTGCAGACTAACCCTATGAATCCTAAGGGTGCCTTTGACTGGCTCGGTGAGAGTAACAATTTGGAAAAGGCCAAACATCCCAATGCTGGATCCTCCTGGAAGAGATGCATGTATTTATTAACCTACTTGTTTAAGCAATGCACAATAACAATCCTAAGAGTGTCTTTGTCAGGCTTTGAGATGAAAGCATTAGCAATGTAAGAAAGTGAATGACTCCCAAATGAATGAACAGACCTCTTTGAAAATAGTATTTTTTATTTATAAATCTCGATGAAAATTCATGAAGTTGGCATGATGAAAAAAATCTATATTTTATACAAATGAAGCCATTTCAACAGAGGGACATCTAAGAAAACAGATGAAGCCACTTAACTGAACAGCTCTATACAAACCAAATCACTGTAACGAACAGACTTCCATAAAATTAGTAATCATTTCAGCATCACTACACAATGACTTTTGTGCATCAAGTGGCTCCTCACAATGCCACTCCCCCCTTTGCCCCTAACTCACCGTCTCGAAGGTGCCCTTGTGCATGAGGTCGATGGGCGGTCTGAAGAGGTCGGCGAGCGTCTTTAACCTCCTATCGACTGCTCCACCGTTCAGAAGCTCCTGCTCCTGCCTGACTGTGGAGAGCAACGGTGAGTTACCCACCGCAACACGTCAACTGCAACCGTTTCCTGGTAACCACTACCTGCAACCTAGAAACTGCCACCAAGCAACCAAGATCTGCTACTTGACAACTGTGACACAGCAATGACCACTGCGCAACTTCCAATTGCCAAATTTTACTCTATCCGCCACTGAGCAACCACTGACCGCCACCTGGTACTCAATAACCCATAACTCAATTTTCTTACTCAAATAAGTATTGAGGCAGTGCTCATCTGCTATGTACAGCCCTGAGCAAGTGGTGTAATTTCACATTCCTATGGCAGATGCAAGTCTATCCATAGGACAACCACTCTTGACTTTCCTGATTGCAGGCCGCTTCCTCTACCACTGAGCCGCCTGATAACTGCCAAGAAGCAGCAGCTAACCTCAACTTGCTAACTGGCACCCAGCAACTTCCAAATGCCACCTGACAACCAACTGCCACCATGCCGACATCTGCCTCACAGCACTTAACAATTCTTGTGTTGAGAAGTGACCATTCTAGTGCTACTGCTGCAGATGATGATGCATCACACTCCTACTTTTGCTACTTCTGCTGCTGATTCCAACAATACTACTGCTGTTGCTGATGATGATGCTGACACTCCCACGGTTACTGTTCATGACAGTAATGAGGCTGTTACAGTTATGACGCTGCGATGAAAACGCAATGGAGCACGGCGAGCGAGTGAAAGAGCGAGCGAGTTTTTGTACTTACTCGCTTCGGTCTGGAAGTCTCGGAATCCGTCGAACACCGACTGCGAGAGTCGGCTTCGCTTGGGGGCTGAAACGTCAAAGAGGGAGACACAAACGTCACATGCCCTGGCATTGATGGAAGCCGCTTTTACAACCGCAGGGGGTTTCTCAGCCAGTGGAGGGGCACAGTAAGCATGTGGCAATTGACCCCCATCCACCCATAGATTTTTACAGAATGTAACCGTTTAGATTGCCGTGATTTTATAGACTTCCTTGAATCGATACTTATGCTTTTTACATCTCGTTTGTAAAATGTTGCTAACTCCATTGGTCTAAATGTAACACGTGCACATATACAGCCCTTTTTGTCAATCTACTGCTGGATGAGGGCCTCCCCTATGCCGTGCAGATTGTAGAGGATACCTTTTCCTTACTTCACCATGCGGATCAGTGGAGGCTTAAGGTGAGGAGCATTTAAGCGGCAGCACAGAAGTAGAGTACTGCACACAATGTATGTTTATGCACTGCCCTCTGCTGCCCAGAACGTAGCTCCACAGAAGCCTATAAAAACTGTTTTAGGTTTAACCCTGCTTTCCAAGTGATTTGATCTTAAAGTGACAATAATGGATTCTCATACACACAATTGAATGTTTTAGATACAATGTTACATTATGAATCGATGCAGCATTATGCAAATCATATGGTGATACATTTAGGTAAATGCAATGAACAAAATTGTACAAACAAGACGAAATATTATGGAAGACAAAAGAAATCAAAAAGCAAAAATGTGGCTAAAAATAATCTATTGTTGACTAAAATTGTCACTTTTCATCAAATTACTTGAGGTGTGAAATATTACACTCCTGAGTCAGGAGGGAATAACGTATCAATGAAACTTTTGTCAGGGAGAAGCAGGATGCCAAAATAAGTCCCATAATAGTAAAGCAACGAATTTGTAAAGGTATCTGATTATTCATTAGAATTTTCCCGCCAAAGCAGAGACAGCTTGCTGGGCATAACGCTTAATGCAATGGTGGCATTTCTCCAGCGAGCCTGTGGCCTAACTGGCTGAGGAGTGGAAACTGCCCTGGACTCACCCCCAAAGATGGGTTCTGGATCCACCAGCACCTCCTGTTTCTGTGGGATGGGTGCCCGCACCTCCCCTCTACATACACAGGTGCACACGGACGCACAGGGACACGTATACACACTCACACAACCTGTATATCCATACACGCTGTTGGGGAAAATTCTGTCCCCAAAGCGGATATTGACACAAAGCACCAGGTAATAATTCAAGGCCACCTAGGAGAGGCTGAGTAACGGTTCACATATTTGTCACTGATGTTGGCTGTGAGCAGAATTGAAGGTCACCGGGTAAATAAAAGCATATACTGTAAATGCAAGTGCACACACACACAGCACAATCGATCAAGAAATCAAGAAATCAATCAATTGAGCAACCGAAAGCTGGAGCTACCTACAGAACTCAATCAAGTGTGCGAAACAATAAAACATCCAAAGATTTGAACAATATACAGCACAACCAATGGAGCAACCAACATCGCATGATATCAACCGATAATCGTGCCCAATCGGTTGCCCCGCTCACCCGTCGAGGTCTTCCGCCTGTTGCGACGTGCCAGCCGCGGCGCCGATGGTGGCCGCGGTGGCGGTGCTGAGGGCGTGTCGCGCGCGCGGTGCGTGCACCCTCCCGTGCGTGTGCGACCGCGAATGCGAGCGCGACGAGCCGGGGGGACCGTGTGCGGCATCCAGCGGGGAGGCAGCGGCCGTGGGCACGGAGCCTGCGCCGCCGTCGAGGAACATGGTGACGGCCGTGTGCAACTCATTGCCGCACGCCTCCAGCATGTGTAGCGCCACATCCTGAGATGCACCTGCAACTCAACATCAGGGAGGGGGGAGAGAGCACACAGAAATAGATAATCAGGATGGTGGGAGGTAACCAGTAAGAACAGATCACCAGGGAGGGGTAGGGAACCAGCAAAACAGGCCATGAAGGAGGGGACAAGCAGATATGGTTCATCAGGGAGGGTGAGGGAGGAATGGGAATGAGTTTCAGACACCAGACATTTCTTTATTATTGAGACACTAATGACATAAATGAGCAACCACTGGCATAAACAATTAAGTAAATGATGGCACAACCATCGAACTGCAGAATATATCAAATATAGTTGTAACAAGGTTCAGATACCAGACCTTTGATTATTAATAACACGTTGATGAAAGCTTGAATGTATCAGCTTTGTCTGTCTGAAATGTTAAGGCACGATAACCATTGTAAAGACAATCAAATTCGGAAAACTTTAGGATAAAGTTGCATTGCTATTACTGATCTGCCCTACAAAAAATGGCTGGATTGATTAGAGGCTTCCCCAAAAACTTTGAAGACAAAATCCTCCGCTAAACGGATTCGCCTTGGGTCATTATCTCACAATGGCATGTGGCTTGTGACATGATCTCTGTATGCGGTTTGAATACATATCGTTATTTAAAAACTCCCGAGCATAAAAGCACGGTGGAAAGCAATCCAAAGTCCTGCATTTGCATGATTCTATTCCTTATTGATTTAGTCTACAGCCATATCCATCCTTGAATATGCCCACTATCACGAGAAGCCAGATGCTACGCAAAATTGAGGCTTGTTAAGACAGGACTTATCGAGTGTTGCAGGCATGGGGCTGCAGTGTGCGGACAGAAGCCAGTGCTATGTTCACCCCTTGGTAAGTCTAGTAGGTACTGTATTCTTAGTCTGCTCTGGTTTCCTCCAACAAAAAGCCATTAACTAATAGAATTGACCAAACATCCCAATGAAGCAGGACCCTCCTGAAAAAAAGGGTTTCCTCTTAATATAATTGGCATTATCAGTGGGATTCATTTGGACCGCAACTCCTCCCACATCTTCCCCTGGGTCTCATTTGCCCCGGTTCTGTTTGCTGTCATGCAGCTTCTCTCGCCCTCATCTGTCCTGGATACCCTGAACCCTCCTGGTTGGCTGGCCTTATCTGTTTGGTGCTTTAGGCTTTGGCTGCCCTGGGCTCATCCAGGCTGGATGCCTCACGTATCCCTAGGCCTCGTAAGTACTGTTGTATATATCATGGCCAGGGATAAAGCCCAGTTCAACAGGTATGTACTGCTACGTACAACACTCTGCATCACCAAACACACAAAAGACAACATTTCCCTTCGTAGCAATACAGGCGGTTGGGGCAAGTGCTGTTTGCAAGCACCTATTAAGGTCGGCACAACACACAAGGGGGTGGTGTGGTGGGGAGTATGTTGGCAGTCGTGTGTCTCTCCAGTGCTGATATTAATGCACAGCGGTCGGTACTCATTGAAGGCGGAGTCGTCCGAGTGGAGGCCCCTCCACACATACACTGTCACAAACAGCTACAGAAACAGCTACGCTCGCCCACAGAGTAAATCATATCAATAGAAATGCAAGCACAGACAAATACAGATACAATGCTAACAATGAGGAACAGAGAGAGGGAAAGTGAGGCAAAAACACACACCATTGCGTTGTACACACACACCAGTAACAGTAGGTTCTTTATTTGAAAGCGGGTTAGGATACATTAAGAAAATATGTCCAAGCAAGGGAGAGGTGGGGTAAACAGGAGGCATGATACAAATCACTGACACCTCCCCCTAGTTATTCAATGAATTGTCACGTTCATGATTGCGATTGAATTTTATAATCATATACGTTTTAATTAATTCTGCCATTCTGCTTGTTCAGATTGTAATACCCGTCTCAATTTTTGTTTGTTCATTAGTCTGCATAATTGCTAGAATCGATCTTATTTAATAGATTGAAGCGTCCATTACATGCCTAGTAAATACATACAAACGTACAGCCCATTATCAATGTGCGGCTAAATTCTGGCTTCCTCACACACCTTTTCGATCATTGCCGTTGTTTGACCATACATCGCCGTGTCGGTCATTATAGTTGGTGAAAGGGATTTTCAAGACTAGTTCAGATATCACTCGCCACTGATGTTAGCTGTGGCCGGAAATCGAAATCAAGTGCCGAGTAAACGTGCAAGAACAAAATCGTTCAGAATAAAATAAATGTTAAACATTTATTATGTAGAGTGCGAACACAGTTTAGATTTCTGTACTGTACATTCAGTTGCATATCCAATCCATCACATATCTGCATTCATCAATTAAATATCCACCAGTGCAGTATTTGCCTCGTGTTTAATTGTAATATTCTATAATTATCAGATTGTTCACACATCTAACCTTTTCAATTACCTGCCAATACATGTCCCCCCGGCAAGTTGCACATGCAAGGTTCTCCTGTATTTAAGTAAGTTTTATGGTTTCTCACTAAACAGAGGTGAGTGCTTAATTTCTGCCAAACTGACCTGTGTGGCAGTCACCCAGCAGGGGATTGATAATAATATTGACTGCTTTCCAACCATGTGGTGCAAATTCCACATTCCTGTGCCAGAGGTCAGTCATTCATAATCAATCAGAATCTCAACCATGCTTGATTTCCATGAGCCATCAATCCACTGCTGGATGAGCACAATATTCCACCACGCTGGGCAAATGTGGGGTGGTAAGAGCGGGGAGGCACACTGAACTCTGCTGCCCACCACATGTCCCCCCACCAGCCTATAGCACCTGTTATGCACGGTGGGGGTATACATTCTACACAGGGTCTCATCATCGTATATGATTAACCATTGCTGATTTCGAACCAGTTGTTGAAAATTACACATTCTTGCTTAATTGCAAAGATAGTTGCTGTCCTTGCAGTGTTGTATAAATCCACAAAGTAGTACTTATTTTACTGACCTAGCAAGAGGAATGAAGATGATAGTCGGTGTGAATTCTTAACAATATGCCAGGCTCTGATACTTAATTATTTAAGGTCAAACTTTTACTGCGTAAACAAACAGCATTTTGCCAGAAACGCCATTCCACATTTCCATGCCCGGGCCTCGTACATTCAAGAGACGACCACCGTCGACTTCCTGTAAAGTGGTGCTCGTTTTATCTGCACCATCGAGATTACTGCTTCATATTGTTAACTTTAAACATTTGTGGATGGTTTGGACTGGAGGTTTTATCAGTACTTAAAAGTTATCATTCATAAGTAATTACGAAAAATAATGAGCTTATAAAATCCACGTAAAAAATATTGTTACGAAAACTTAAATCTAAATTCTGCACTTGCCACACAACCAAATCTAAATACACACGCATACATATCTATCGTAGGCTACAATGCTAAACATAATGCCTGCATAAATGTTAGATATATCTGACAGAAACGAGCAAGCTGATCATTATAAGCCTATCGTAAAAATTATTATTAAATACTTTGACTGATCAAGTCAACATTCGCAACCCCCGCCTGACACATCAACAACATTGACATCAACTCTTCTCAAAACTTAATCACCGTCAGTGCCGCGAATAAATAACACCTTGAACGATAGTCCCGAAACAACTATCACTGTTACATTGTGTGTACAACGACAGCAACAACAGCAGCAACAACAACAACCGCCACCACCAAAGACGTTGATTACGCCACCACGGTCGGAGTAGCAGAGGCCTGAGGTAAAAAAAATTTTAAATATTTCGAAAATAAACAAAGATGCTACCGTTCGACTTCACTCGCTATGCTGATTATTTTTAAAAAGACTACGACCAGAGACGATAAGCGATGTTGGGTGTCGGCGAGCGATGGGATTCCGTTACCGGTGATCGCGCAGAAGTCGCCCACCATGGCGCCCAGCGACTCCGCGTCGCCGCTGGCGGGAGACGACGACGCCGCCATGGTCGCGCGCTGCTCGCCGGACGCGCCGATTGGCCCGCGCTCCGTCACGTGGCGAGAGGTCGCGCGCGGCCAATCGGAGCGTGAGGGCGGAGCGCGCGGTTTACCCCCCGCCCCACTGCCCCTCCCCCGCCCAACTGCCCCCCACCCCACTGCCCCACTGCCCCCCCCCGCCCCACTGCCCCCCCACTGCCCCCCCCCCCCGCCCAACTGCCCTGCCCAACTGCCCCCCCCACCCCACTGCCCCCCCACCGCCCAACTGCCCCCCCACCGCCCAACTGCCCCCCCCACCCCACTGCTCCCCCCACCCCACTGGTCCCCCCACTGCCCCCCCGCCCCACTGCCCCCCCACCCCACTGCTCCCCCCACCGCCCAACTGCCCCCCCACCCCACTGCTCCCCCCCGCCCCACTGACCCCCACTGCCCCCCCGCCCCACTGCCCCCCCACCCCACTGCCCACCCCCCCGTCCCACTGCCCCCCGTCCCACTGCCCCCCCCCCCGCCCCACTGCCCCCCACCCCACTGCCCCCCACCGCCCAACTGCCCCCCCCGCCCCACTGCCCCCCCCCGCCCCACTGACCCCCCACTGCCCCCCCGCTCCACTGACCCCCGCCCCACTACCTCCCCACACGCGCACGCGCGTGGGTTCCAGCCCCGCCCCCTTTCTCGCCCCGCCCCTTCCCGCCCCTCCCCGTCGTTTCCGCTTCGCCCCCCTCCTATAATCGCAGCAACTCCTGTAATCCGCGACTTCCCAGTTATCGGAGTGCGCTGAACATGTTAAACACGTGGCGGCCACGTGGCTTTCACGTGGTACCGGTTCTGGGTTCCCTCTCTTCACCAAATCGCACTCACCAGCGTGGTGGAGGTTTTTGGGTAAACAAATCCCCATGACCGACACGCCGTGGTTGAGGTCTTCATCCAGCAGCGAGACGTCTGGCCAAAAAAAACAACCATTACCAAGCTGCAGCAGCGTGTTCAAAATTCTCTGGCACGTGTCGTGACGGGGAGTGCGAGATCCGACCATGTCCGACCAGTGCTCACCGAGCTGCGTTGGCTTCCGGTTACCGAACGAATACATGATAAGGTTGCACTCATTCACACCACACAAAGTGCTTGCCACAAATGACCCACAATACCTTTCTGATCTCGTCAAGGAGTATAAACCATCACGCGAACTCCGGTCAACCTCGCAGTTCTTTTGGCTAACCATCGAACAAAGGCGGTCACCGCATCGCGTGATTTCAGATGCGCTTCTGCGGCCGTCTGGAACGCTCTTCCTTCCAATATTCGGAAGCCACTGTAGCTATGCACTTTTAAATCTAGATTTGAAACAAATTTCTTTAGAATTGCGTTTTGTGTTTGGTTTGTTGTCCTTCCCCCGCACCTCCGATTAGCACGTTTGGCTACGTCCGGTGCAAAAGAAGTTCAACATACACACACACATACGATAAAGTTCTATAAATTGTTATTGTAAGAGTGAAGCGTCTCCGAACCTCGAGACTCGTTGTCAGGAGGGTGCCGCTGCATTGGGATGTTTGGACAATGGCATTAATGAGAGGTTGGCTTTGTGTCGGAGGAAACCGGAGAAACCTGGAGCAATAACCACTTCGAAGGGGCGACAACTCAAGACTCCATTGCTAGACGGTCATCTCCGGACCGCCTCGCATGCCGAGATTGCATCATCACCTTCATTATCACCAACAGCATCAAAATCTCGATTTAAAGCTTTCGTGACTGCAGGGATTCATCTTCTTGGTTCTTTCGGTAAAGTCACGTAGAAGGAAAATAATAATAATAAAACATAATAAAATAATTCTCACGACGTTTCGACCTGTTCTCCACCTGAAGACGGCTGCTTGCGTTGTGGCCGAAACGTCGTGAGAATTATTTTATTATGTTTTATTATTTTATTATTTTCCTTCTACGTGACTTTACTGAAAGAACCAAGAAGAAGAAGCATCATCATTATCTCGACCGGGTGGATCAAATAAGTAGCACTGGAGAAAAGCAACAGTGGGTAGCACTGACGGACAGACTGACCCATGCCATATGAATGTGGAATTTCCACCACTAAGTCAGGACCGCCAATATAGATGGGCACCGGTAATTAATTATGGTGCCTTTGTCTGGCTACGTAAAAATACCAAAAAAGTAAAACCTGCTGACATTTTCCGTGAGTTGCCACAGCTATGTGGCTTATGTCGAGATCCGATCCTCGAAAACTCAGATGCACGCTGCCCTCTTGGAAAAAGCATCGTTTCTGGAATCACTCGGCCTGTAAATTGCATTTTTTTTATCATTATTACGCTTTTTTTAGGGTGCCACGATGGCTAGGAGATGTTACCTACCTCGCCTGGTATACAGGAGGTCGTGGGTTCGATCTCGACTTTGACGCCTGCTGCTGCTGTGTATTTGGAGTTTGTGTGTCCCTCTCTCATCATCATCACGGTGGCTAGGAGATGTTAACTACCTCGCCTGGTATACAGGAGGTCGTGGGTTCGATCTCGAATTTGACGCCTGCTGCTGCTGTGTATTTGGAGTTTGTGTGTGTCTCTCTCCCCCCTTGGTCGCGCGGATTTTTCTCCGGATCCCCTGGTTTTTTCCCTCCGCATTTTTAATCAACATCACGCGCTTAGAGTCTTTGGCTGCTATACATTTCCACGCGATAAGCAACTTTGTTGAGCCAATCATTTGTGGCCAGGTCGCTTCTAAAGAAAGAGCTGTATTTTAGCTCAGTTGGGACTTACCTGGTAAAATAAACAATTGTAATAGTTTGAAACAAGAGGCAATGCTGTGTCACGGGTCTCAACGGGTTTATTTCATCTCGTGGTTAAATAAAGGGTACAACGGCAAACGAAACTTCAACCCAGCATATGAAGCAAAGTGAGAGGTCCACACGGCCTACGCCTATACTCATAGCTGCAATACAGCGACTTACTCAGACGAGACGTTCATTTTAGTTTTTTCACGTGGCGTTAAGTGTTCTAGACGCATGTAAAACTTTGCACCAATGGCACACCACAGGGCGGGGAGTGCAGCCAATGATATAATGCACGGGGATTATAGAGGAATGGGATTCGTGCATAGAGCACGGGAAAGAATGGGAAATAAGAGGAAAATGTGGGAAGGGGACAGATACATGTGACCAGAGAAGGAGCGACTGGGATTGCAGCAAGAGCAGTTTGTGTGAATGCAGTCGCAAAGGTTCCTTCACTGGCTTCGCTTGACGAATGAATGACCTAATGACCTAATAAACTAATGACCTGATGAATGAAATGAGCGGCGGGGCAGGAAGGGGAGGAGGGGGAGAATGAATGACGAAGATGTGGGGGATGAGATTGTGGTAATGATGAGAGGGGAGGAACGAGGGTGGGGTGGGGGGGGTAAGACGTGAGCTCGCAAGTCTGTTTTCACAGGGGGCGGTAGGGAAGAGGGGGGATTCAGATGCGAGGTGGGGGGGCACATGTGAGTCACGTGATTTGCGGGAGGGCTTGAGCTGATTTAGATATACATTTGGTCATTCAAATCCGACACTCTCTCTCTCGAGAGAGAGAAATTAGGAGAAACCCACACCCCCCACCACCCCATACGACAAGGGAAGAATTCGTGCATCAGGGCGAACGCGACTTGGAATTCCGCTGTTGATTGGCGCTCACAACTAGCCACGACTCGCGTCCATTCGCCTTGCCACGTGACCGCCGCATTGCACAGACCCAGTGGTTCTCAATCTCCTGTTGGCTACGACTGCACCGCCCCCCTCCCCCCCTTGTTGAAGGTTGTCTCAACCGAGGAGTGTACACCCCCCCTCCCCCCTTGCCTCGCCCAACATGGCTCTGAGAAATAAACGCACGAATAAGAAACGTCAATTTTTTTAACCAATTTGTCTATTTTTGGCGAGGTTATCCTCACTTGTCTAAGTAACTGCAATTTCGATCGATGATTACCGAATTGTGCTTAAAAAAAACGATTTTGGAATGAATGAATTATAGCGCCTCTAGTGGCTGCACGGGTCGGTCGCGAAGCCCCCATTGTGACTTGAGTGACACGCACACGATACACAAACATCATCATCCATGATCGTGATCTGTGAGAATATTAATCTGTGACGGATCGATACGTCGATACTGACCCCCCCCCCTCGCCCGCCCGCTCCTCCTCCTCTCCCCCAGTAGCCACGACAGCGACTTGCTGTTGTCGATGAAACCTCTTCGGGGCCGTCCATAAATGACGTCACGCGATTTTGGACGATTTTAGACCCCCCCCCCTCGTCACACGGCGTCACAAAAAGTCAGACCCCCCCTCAAATATGACGTCACAAAGCTCTGCCCTCCCCCCCCAATAAAATATGCTTCAAAACGCTTTAAACTATTGTCATTGTAGTGCGTATTTAATATGGCGCTGCACTCTGATGTTGTAGGAGAAAACATTTATTAGAAAGTCTATTTAATTAAGTAGAACGTGTTGTCTATACTTATTTAAAGTTGCGCATTTTGATGTGACGTCACATTTCTCAAACACCCCCCTCCCCCCTCGTCACACATCGTCACAAATGTCTGACCCCCCCCCCCCCAGGTGCGTGACGTCATTTATGGACGGCCCCTTCTTCTTAAACGTTGATAACGGCTTCGCCCAAAGTTCCCCTTCAACGTCATCACAGTCACCATCGCCGGTCGCCCCGGGGCGCCGGTCACGTGTCGCACACCAATGCGAACGCGGCCCTCCGAGTGGGGGGGGGGGGTCGATGGAACGGGCGGCCGAGGGGGGGGGGGCGACTGACCCACGGTCAGGGATCTAAATCTGGCTCTGTCCGCGCCCGTACAATATTTCCGCACCCGGCACACCACATCGAGCGAGGCCTCTGGCGATGGCTGTGGCTGCTACTCTACCGCTAACTCGCCTCCCGCCGGCGGCCCTGGAAAATATTCAGCGAGCAACGAAGCGCGGGCCCACAATGCCTAGCACGGTGCAGCAGGTGACCTGCGCTAAAACGCCGCGACCCGACTCACAACGTCGCAGACACTACGAGAGAAACACGAGCCTCGAGTTAAAAACCATCGAATGTTTTACAATTGAAAAATAACGATCGTAATATTACATTGAACCTTTGAGGTTAAATAGTCCCGTCGCCTAGAGCTGCGGTGTCTGCCCTATGATAAAGTGTGTATGGGTACGTGTGTATAAGTGTGTATGGGTATGTGTGTATGGGTATGTGTGTATGAGTAAGTATGAATGAGTATGTGTGTATAAGTGTATATGGGTAAGTGTGTATAAGTATGTGTGTGTAACTAGGTGTGTATGGGTATGTGGTGAGCGGTAGTGTAGCGGTTAGCGCAATGCGCTACAAACCTGGCCACCCGAGTTTGATTCCCGTTCACGGCCAACGCCGGTGACGATTATCCGAACCAGTCCTGGGCCTCCCCTAGGTCGACTCAGCCTCAAATGAGTACCTGGTGCGGTGTATAAACATCGCCACTAGGAGGATAAAGGCGGCCGGGCATGGTGCTGGCCACCCACCCCCTCGTGTGACGTGTCGACCACCTTCATAGGTGCCACTCGCTAACAGCACTTGCCCCAACAGTCTGTAAAAGCTATACAGGAGGATTTTCTCTCCATGTTTGGGTGCATGTATGTATGTCTACATGTATGTATACTGTATGTGTACATGTCGGTATACATGTACACATGTAGGCACACATGTACACGTAGGTATGCATGTACACATAAATGTAGGCACACATGTACACGTAGGTATGCATGTGCGCATAGGTCCAGTGTGTGCCGAGCTGTGTGTGTGCACGACGTGTGCGCGTCGACACGAAGCGCTGAGAGGGTTTCACTTCTTCTTCTGCAGGAGTTTCTCTGCCTTCGCCCGGCGGGACTGGTCGATCTCGCTGAGCTGCAGTCCGTGCTCCTGCCTGCACACTCACGCACGCGCAGCCATCAGTCGGCACACGGGACTCCCCCTAGGTCGACTCAGCCTGAATTGGAGTGCAAAATATCGCCACTCGTGCGGCCAAAGGTGGCTGGCCACGTCACCTCCTCATGTGCCGTACCCGTTCACGTAGGTGCCCGCTGAACAGGACTTGCCCCAACAGTCTGTTGAGGTTATACGGGGGATCGTTGTCTTTGTGTGCGAGTGCCGGGTGTCTAATAAGCAGCGAGGTGAGAAGTGGACAATCCAGCCGGTGCATCTGCCGGTCATCTCGGTCAGCCCACCCTTAAAAACAAACCCACCTGGGTCTGTCGCATGACCCCCTTCCAGCAGTGAGCCTGCGACACTTAACGTGGTGGCCTTAGAGAGTGCACCTAGCCTGGCGCAAGCGCCGTGGTGATGTCACCAAATGGCTGCCGTTTGTTGTGGTGCGCGGGTTTCAAGTTTTCAAGTTTCATTTACGAGGCGTAGCCCTGTGAGCCATGCGGCTCTTGAGTCGGGTGCAACCGCAAAAAACGAAATATGAACAGAGAACAGGGTAGGCAAATGTGCAGGCGTGTGGGTGAGCGAGTGCGCGCACACTCACCCGGCCTGCACCTCCGGCGGGCGGGGAAGTGGCTTCATGAAGCCTTGCTTGCCCACGAGCCAGAACGTCTCCTCCACGCCCTTGCCCTGCGAGGTGGCGACAACACGACACGATCGGCGCACGTGCGCTACGTGGAACTTCTCTCGCACCGCACGCAGACGACCGTGCTTAATCGCAGGTGGTGCACGGTAGGACAACGAGCCGTTCTAAAGAAATGCGTTTTGCACACAGGCGGAGTTTGACTTCCACATTTGGGGGTGGGGGTGGGGGGGGCAGGGATTCGCTCTGTCACACACATCAGGAATCGCGGGTGCTTAAAATGTATTAATATGTTTTTTTAAATCTCAATTCTAAACTACCGAGAATAAATTCATAAAGGTGTCCAGTTGTGGGGAAATTGCCCCCCTGTCCCCCCCCCCAAACTCTAGATTGGATTTCAATGTAGACGATGTAAAAGTGCATCATAGCTCCCAGCGGCTTCCTAATATCGGAAAGACGGCCGCGGAAGCAGCGCGTACGAAAGCGCCACGCGATGCGGCGACCGTCCTTGTTTGACGGGCAGCCAAAAGCCAACAGCGGCCACCGCCGCCGCTGCCGCCGCCGCTGCTGCTGCTGCGAGGATGAGCCGGAGCTCGCGTGACGATGGCTTTATGCTCCTTGACGAGATTGGCGAGTTTTGTGCGCGCCGCTCGTCACCGCGTGGTCTACGCGCGTCCCCGGATCGTTCGTTGCTGTACAACGGCTCGGCACGACTCGACTTCCGTGCCACTTGACCCGCGCTCGGGGTCGGCTCGGCAATAGTCCCTGGCACGGCTCGGATGTACCGGTGGAAAAAAAGAGCTGTCGGTGGCCTGTATTGCGAATTCGCCCTGGTGATGATTTCGGACGAGTCTCGCCCTTGCGTACCTTCAGCTCGGTCTTGCCTCTGCTCTCAAAGAGGTAGCCCTCGCTCAGAGAGTCCAGGATGTTCTTGACTGAGATGTTGATGTGTATTCTGTAGGCTGCGATGCACACAAAGACAACGATCCCCATGAAGGCCGGCATGACACACGAGGGGGTGGGTGGCCATCACCACGCCCGGGCGCCTTTGTCTCCCGAGTGGCGATGTTTACACGCCGAACCAGGTACTCAATTGAGGCCGAGTCGACCTAGGGGATGCCCAGGACCGGTTAAAATAATCGTGTACGAGTGTGTGCGTGTATGTACGTGCCAGCGAGTGCGTATGTGTGTACGCACGCAGTCCGGTTGACTCCATGCGTGACGCGGTGTTGACCGTGTCACCGAACAGGCAGTAGCGTGGCATGGTCAGTCCCACCACGCCGGCCACACACGAGCCTGCACACACACACCACACACACACAACACACACACCACACACACACAACACACACAACACACACAACACACACACACAACACACATCACACACCACACACAACACACACAACACACACAACACACACACACAACAAACACACACGCATACAACACACACACATCACACACAACACACACAACACACACAACACACACACAACACACACACATACACACACACATACACACACACATACAACACACAACACACACATCACACACACAACACACACATACACAACACACACACATACAACACACACACAAAACACACACACAAAACACACACACACATCACACACACAACACACACACGAAAGATGAAGGTCCCCCGTGTAGCTAACTCAGACTGTTGGGGCAAGTCAGAGTTTTGATTCCTCTCTCATTCACGACGGTTGCGGTGCCGGGCAGTGACGGTGGAGGTAGCAGTGGGAGCCGGGTGGCGCTGCACGGTGGTGACAGCGGTAGTGGGTGGTGGTGGTGATAGCGGTAGTGGGTGGTGGTGGTGATAGTGGTGGTGGTGATAGTGGTGGTGGCGGTGATAGTGGTGGTGGCGGTGATAGTGGTGGTGGCGGTGGTGGCGATAGCGGTAGTGGGTGGTGGTGGTGGCGGTGATATAGTGGTGGTGGCGGTGATAGTCGTGGTGGCGGTGCCGGGTGATAGCGATAGCGGTAGTGGGTGGTGGTGGTGCCGGGTGGTGGCGATAGCGTTGGTGGTGGTGGTGGTGGCCGGACTCACCGGAGTGCAGGCCGATGCGGATGCGCACCGGCACGTCCGGCATGTGCCGCATCTTGAAGGAGCCGACGGCGCTGAGGATGTCGAGCGACATGTTGGAGATCTCGGCCGCGTGCCGGTTGCCGTTGCGCGCCGGCAGCCCAGACGCCACCATGTAGGCATCGCCAATCGTCTCCACCTGGGGGGGGGGCGGGGGGGGGGGGGCGGGGGGGGGGTCAAGGTCACGGGAGAGCGCTGGAGGCAATGGCGGAGCCAGGATTTTCAGGTAGGGAGGGGGGCAACCCCTCCAGCAATGAGAAATGATAGAGGAGTTGTTAGTAAGTAAGGAGCTGTTAGTAAGTAAGGAGTTGTTAGTAAGGAGTTGTTAGTGAGTAAGGAGTTGTTAGTAGGTGAGGAGTTGTTAGTAAGGAGTTGTTAGTAAGTAAGGAGTTGTTAGTAAGTGAAGAGTTGTTAGTAAGTAAGGAGTTGTTAGTAAGTGAGGAGTTGTTAGTAAGTGAGGAGTTGTCCCTTGCTTTTTATTCGACGCGTGTGCGGCGATGGCGCAGCCATCGATCGAGGATCGAATTCGAACCGCGTCGTGTGATCGGCATCGCGCTCGCTGAAGGTGAATGCCTTCAGGGAAGTCGTGTACTGTTTACGCAACTGCGCACAATTCTGTGAGTCACTTATAACCGCTTTGCCATTACTTATTGCCAATTATGGACTCAGACTATTGTCTTATCTCATAGAGTCCCTGGCACATGAGAATATGCTACACAGTGGCAGTGGGGGTCGCAAAATGCCGATGTATTACTAATAAACACCAATGATCCGATCTAAATTAGGGATTTCGATCGGATCATTGGGGGGGCACGTGCCACCCCCCCCCCCCCCACTGGAGGTGGTGATTGTGGTGAAGGTGGAATGGGTAGCGATGAAGACATCGGCGACGGAGGTGTTGGTGCCAGAGGTGGTAGGGCGGTGCTCGTGGCGAGGTTGTCGGTGGCGATCATTGCGGTGGTGAAGGTGGCATTGGTCGCGATGATGATGATGACGGTAGCGGTGGTGGCATTGGTGGTGGTGGTGGTGGTAGTGGAGGTATTGTTGTGGTAGACGTAGTTATGGTGGTTGTGGCAGTGGGGTGCTGCTGGTGGTGGCGGGGGTTGTTATGGTGGTTAGGGTTGTAATGGTGCTGGGGGTTGGCTACGTACGGTGCGAAAGAAGTTCAAAATACATACATAGGCACAGACCCCGATGGATATCATAACTACGCAATGCAGCCCGAGACACACAGAGACACACATAGGCACACACAGAGACACACAGAGACACACAGAGACACACACAGACACACAGAGACACACATAGGCACACACAGAGACACACAGAGACACACAGAGACACAGAGACACACAAAGACACGCAGACACACAGAGACACACAGAGACACACACAGAGAGACACACACAGAGACACACAGAGAGACACACAGAGACACACACAGAGACACACAGAGACACACAGAGACACACACAGAGACACACAGAGACACACAGACACACAGAGACACACACACACAGAGACACACAGAGACACACAGATACACACACACACACAGAGACACACAGACACACACAGAAACACACACAGACACACACAGAGACACACAGAGACACACACAGAGACACACACAGAGACACACAGACACACACAGAAACACACACAGAAACACACACAGAGACACACACAGAGGCACACAGAGACACACTACACAGACACACACAGAGGCACACAGAGACACACAGAGACACACACACAGAGACACACACAGACACACAGAGACACACACACAGAGACACACACAGAGACACACACAGACACACACACAGAGACACACACAGACACACACACACAGAGACACACAGAGACACACAGACACACACAGACACACACACACAGAGACACACACAGACACACACACACAGAGACACAACAGAGACACACGGGCGCAGACCTTGTAGACGTCGTGGGAGCCGATGATGGCGTCGAAGAGTGTGTAGAGGTCGTTGAGCAGGTCGACCACCTCGATGGGGTCGCTCATCGCCGAGATGGTGGTGAAGCCGACGATGTCGCTGAAGTAGATGGTCACCTCGTCGAAGTGCTCCGGCTCCACGGGCGTGCCCTTCTTCAGGGACTCCGCCACGGAGCTGGGGAGAAAGAGGTGAGGGGAGAGAGGGGGGAGAGAGGGGGAGAGACAGGAGGGAGAGACAGGGGAAGGGAGAGGGAGACGCGGTAGAATGGAGGAGGCGGCATGGTGCAGGGTCAGGGATCGTGTGAGCCGGCACCACTGAGGTCCTGGGGTCCAATCCGAGCTGCAAACGCCTCAACACCGTGCCTCACCTCACCACCCCGCATCACCACCACACCACACCTTACCACCCCGCCTCACCTCACCACCATGCCACACCTCACCACCACACCTCACCACCACACCACACTGTGTGTGTCACTGTGTGTCACTGTGTGTGTCACTGTGTGTGTGTGTGTATCAGTGTGTGTGTCACTGTGTGTGTGTGTGTCATTGTGTGTGTCACTGTGTGTGTGTGTCACTGTGTGTGTGTCACTGTGTGCGTGTGTCTCCGTGTGTGTCTCTGTGTGTGTCTCTGTGTGTGTCTCTGTGTGTGTATCACTGTGTGTGTCTCCGTGTGTGTCTCCGTGTGTGTCTCTGTGTGTGTCACTGTGTGTGTGTCACTGTGTGTGTCACTGTGTGTGTGTGTGTCACTGTGTGTGTGTGTGTCACTGTGTGTGTGTGTCACTGTGTGTGTCTCCGTGTGTGTCACTGTGTGTGTCACTGTGTGTGTGTGTCTCTGTGTGTGTGCCGCTCACGGGGGCAGCATCTGCGTGAGCAGCTTGTCCGTCTTCTGCTTCTCCACCTCGAGCTCCTCGGTGCGCTCGCGGATCAGGTCCTCCAGGTTGCTCGAGTACTGCTCCAGCATCCGCAGCATCGAGTCGATGATGTTCGTCTTGCGGCCCTTGTTGATGTTCTTGAACTGCGGAGGGCAACGCGCGGGGCATGTGCACGCGCACGCGCGTCGAACTTCTTTTGCACCGTACCTAGCCAAGCGCGCCTATCGGAGGGGCGGCGGCACACGACGTCCCGGCCCCTAGCAGGGCGCTCCCCAAGCTACCCACTCCCGTCTCAGGGGAACATCTCGGAGGGTGGCGGGGGCAGTACGTACCACTTGTCATGGAACGGCGGCGGTCACGTGGGGCTATTAGTACATTCTAGATTTGAAGCTTTCGTGACTGCAAGGATCCATACTCTTTGGTTTCTTTCGGTAAAGTCACGTAGGTGAAAAAAAATAGAAATAAATCACGACGTTTCGATTGCAACCCGAGGAATCGTCATCAGGTGTGACAACCACAGCAGGATTTTTTTTTTTACTGAAGTGTGAGAGATGCCGGAGTTAAGGGGTTTGTATAAGTCAGAGAGGGCGGTGGGGGGGAAATGAGTTCTTAATAGACTCGTACCCACATTTACGTCTCTCCCCCCCCCTCCCCTTTTTACGTCGTTTCGCAGATGCGTCGTCACTTTGACAAATGCCACCACGTGATGAGCCACTTCGTTGAGCCATCACTCGCAGCCAGGTCGCTTCTGAAAATGAGCAAAGTCGCCGGCCGGGGAGTGTGAGACGTCGCCACCGTGGGGAGCGTGGGGAGCGTGGGGACGTCGTGAGGGTGGGGAGCGTGAGGAGTGTGGGGACGTCGTGAGGGTGGGGAGCGTGAGGAGTGTGGGGACGTCGTGAGGGTGGGGAGGGTGAGGAGTGTGAGACGTCGCCACCGTGGGGAGCGTGGGGAGCGTGGGGACGTCGTGAGGGTGGGGAGAATGAGGAGCGTGGGGACGTCGCAGGCGTGGGGAGCGTGGGGACGTCGTGAGAGTGGGGAGCGTGGGGACGTCGTGAGGGTGGGGACGTCGCCACCGTGGGGAGCGTGGAGACGTCGCGAGCGTGGGGACGTCGTGAGGGTGAGGAGCGTGGGGACGTCGCGGGCGTCGCCCCGGCCCCACCTGGTCGAAGACCTCGTCGAAGGTCGGCCTGCGCTCCGGCATCTCCTGCCAGCAGGCCTTCATCATCTGGATGCACTCGAGCGGGGCGTGGTCGGCCGACACGTTCGGACGGCACAGCGGGGGCGGCCGCTTCACCTTGAGGATGATCTCTGCGCGCGTCACGCGGCACGTCACGCGGCACGCGGGCAACGGTGACGACGACGACGACGATGATGATGACGACAATGATGATGACAACGATGATGATGATGATCATGAAGACGACGACAACGATGATGATGACGACGATGATGATGACAACGATGATGACGACGACGATGATGATGGCAACGACGACAACAACGATGATGATGACGACGATGATGACGACGACGACGACAACAACGACGACGACGATAATGATGACGACGATGATGACGATGATGATGACAACGACGACAATGATTTTACTTGGTAGTATGGAGGAGGATGGCTGTAAAGGATGCTGCTGGGCAGTCTGAGGCAGTTGGAGGAAGTCGCCCTCCAACAACAATGGAGGGCGGAGGAGCGACGCTCACAACAACGAGCGGAGTGCGGAGGTGAGACGAATTGGGGGAAACCTTCATCCAGCAGCGGATTGACCAATGCCTGATCGTGAAGATGAACCCTGACCGCCCCCCTGCCGCAACCCCCCAGGGATGCATGGCCGCGGTTACTCGTGACCCGTGACCCTAAACCCCACGACCCTGGAGACCCTTGAACTCAGGACCTCGTGACTCAATGACCTCCCAGAGACCTGTGACCCATAACCCCCGTCGCTTCGGGGCCCCAGGGTACCCATGACCCCCGGCTGACCTTTGACCCGCAATCCCATGGCCCTGGGGTCTCGTGACCCGATGATGTCGCGCGGGACCCACCTTCCGTGGACAGCTCCAGCATGCAGTAGGGGGTGCTGCGCATGATCACCTCCTGCACGATGATGGAGAAGCTGAAGATGTCCCCCTTGAAGGTGCCGCGCCGCGCCGCCACCGCGTCGCGCAGCAGCTCCGGGGCCGTCCACAGCAGCTCTGAGGGGCGGCCACACCCCCAATCGCGTCACCGTGGTGACGGTGGTGGTGACGGTGGTGGTTGTGGTGGTGGTGATGTTGATTATGTCGATGATGATGTTGACGGCGATGATGATTAGGAATTATGATGTGGGTGATGTCGGTGATGGTGGTGGTGACGATGGTGGTGGTGACGGTGGTGGAGATGGAGTAGATGGTGGCGGTAGTGGTGATGATGTTGACGGCGATGATGATTAGGAATTATGATGTGGGTGATGTCGGTGATGATGGTGGTGGTGACGGTGGTGGCGATGGTGGCGGTGGTGGCGGTGATGGCGGTGGTGGTGGCGGTGATGGCGATGGTGGTGGCGGTGGTGGTGGTGGTGGCGGTGATGGCGGTGGTGGCGGCGGTGGAGATGGTGAAGATGGTGGCGATGGTGGCGGTGGTGGTGGTGGTGGCGATGGTGGTGGTGGTGGTGGCGGTGGTGGCGCTGCCTCACCGTCGGGCTTGGGCTCCTCCGCTGTGAGCTGCAGCAGCTGGCTGAGTTCGCAGTAGCTCTGGTCGGTGACCTTGAGCACGAAGCGGCCGTCCACCACGCAGTTGCGCGACTTGAGCCGCCCGTGCACCAGCTCGTGGTGGTGCAGGTACTTCATGCCCTGCCGCGGACACACACGCACAAAGACAAAGATCCCCCGTATAGCCGTAACAGACTGTAGGGGCAAGTGCTGTGAGCGAGCAGCACTGATGAAGGCTGGGAGGGCGGGTGGCCAGTGGGTCGCCACACCGCACACCTCCACGGCGGCGGCGGGTGTAGAATCGCGAGGGGTCACGAGGGGTCGCGCTCGGGGTCGCGCTCGGGGTCGCGCTCGGGGTCACGCTCTGGGCGGGGGTGGGTGGGAGGGAGGGAGGCCGTCACCTTGATGAGGTCGGTCATGAGCGAGGACTTGAACATCCAGTCGAGTTTGGTGTCCTGGTTCTGCAGCAGGTCCTCCAGGCTGCCGCGCGCCCCGTGCTCCGTCACGATGGCGCAGACGCCGCAGTCGACGAACACGCCGATGAACGGGTTCACGTTCTCGTGGCGCATCTCCCGCAGCTGGACGACACGAGACGCGACGGTGACGCGACGAGACGCGATGGTGACGCGATGGTGACGCAACGAGACGCAACGAGACGCGATGGTGACGCGATGGTGACGCGATGGTGACGCAACGAGACGCAACGAGACGCGACGAGACGCGACGGTGACGCGACGAGACGCGACGGTGACGCAACGAGACGCGATGGTGACGCGACAAGACGCGATGGTGACGCGACAAGACGCGATGGTGACGCGACGAGACGCGATGGTGACGCGATGAGACGCGACGGTGACGCAACGAGATGCGACGGTGACGCGACAAGACGCGACGGTGACGCGACGAGACGCGATGGTGACGCAACGAGACGCGACGGTGACGCGATGAGACGCGATGGTGACGCAACGAGACGCGACGGTGACGCAACGAGACGCGATGGTGACGCAACGAGACGCGACGGTGACGCAACGAGACGCGACGGTGACGCAACGAGACGCGACGGTGACGCAATGAGACGCGATGGTGACGCAACGAGATGCGATGGTGACGCAACGAGACGCGATGGTGACGCAACGAGATGCGATGGTGACGCAACGAGACGCGACGGTGACGCAACGAGACGCGAAGGTGACGCAACGAGATGCGATGGTGACGCAACGAGACGCGATGGTGACGCAACGAGACGCGACAGTGACGCAACGAGACGCGACGGTGACGCAATGAGACGCGATGGTGACGCAACGAGATGCGATGGTGACGCAACGAGACGCGACGGTGACGCAACGAGATGCGATGGTGACGCAACGAGACGCGACGGTGACGCAACGAGACGCGACGGTGACGCAACGAGACGCGACGGTGACGCAACGAGACGCGACGGTGACGCAATGAGACGCGAAGGTGACGCAACGAGACGCGACGGTGACGCAACGAGACGCGACGGTGACGCAACGAGACGCGATGGTGACGCAACGAGACGCGATGGTGACGCAACGAGACGCGATGGTGACGCAACGAGATGCGATGGTGACGCAACGAGACGCGACGGTGACGCAACGAGACGCGACGGTGACGCAACGAGACGCGACGGTGACGCAATGAGACGCGATGGTGACGCAACGAGATGCGATGGTGACGCAACGAGACGCGATGGTGACGCAACGAGATGCGATGGTGACGCAACGAGACGCGATGGTGACGCAACGAGACGCGACGGTGACGCAACGAGACGCGACGGTGACGCAACGAGACGCGACGGTGACGCAATGAGACGCGATGGTGACGCAACGAGATGCGACGGTGACGCAACGAGACGCGACGGTGACGCAACGAGACGCGATGGTGACGCAACGAGACGCGACGGTGACGCAACGAGACGCGACGGTGACGCAACGAGACGCGACGGTGACGCAACGAGACGCGACGGTGACGCAACGAGACGCGACGGTGACGCAACGAGACGCGACGGTGACGCAACGAGACGCGACGGTGACGCGATGAGACGCGATGAGACGCGACGGTGACGCAACGAGACGCGACGGTGACGCGATGAGACGCGATGGTGACGCAACGAGACGCGACGGTGACGCGATGGTGACGCGATGAGACGCGATGGTGACGCAACGAGACGCGACGGTGACGCGACGGTGACGCAACGAGACGCGACGGTGACGACGGCGACGACGACCGTCAAACGCAGGATGCCTCTTTGAGGACCGCAGTGCGCCTCTTGAAATTCGAACGGGATAAAAATGGCCTCTTCTAGTTTAACTCGGGAGGGAACCCTGCGGCTGCGTGGCAGCGTGCGCCTCATCGAGGAGCGCGCTTCGTTCTCTATTCGGGGATATGTCGCCTCCTGAAATATTGCGGTGGGTGTGTTTTTTTGTTTTGTTTTACCGAATTCGTGTTGTTGTTGTTTTGGTTGCCGACCCCTGCTCTAGCGCGTTTCTCCGAGCGCACGGCCGTCGCTTGCGTTTCACGGACGCAGCGTGCGGTCGTCTCGCGGCAATCAGGGGAGGGGGGGCCGGGGGGAGGGTGGGCGCGGGGTCCCAGTCGAGAGGCGCTCGCGGCGACGTTTCTCGAAGCGCGTCTCTGGGGCGCGACGGCTCTGCTCTTGCGAACGACGTCACGGGGATCTTTGACGTTCGTCGCAGTAACTCAACTCAACTATTTTTTATTTTATTTTACCAGGTAAAGCCCTCTGAGCTATGCAGCTCTTTCTCAGAAGCGACCTGGCCACAAATGATAGCTCAACGAAGTGGCTCTTCGTCATCACGTGGGGATGTGTAAGCAGCCAAAGACTCTAAACGTGTGATGTTGTCCATAAACGTGGAGAGAAAAACCCAGAGGACCCGGAGAAAACTCCACGCTACGACGGGGAGACAGATAGAGACACGCAAACTCTACATATACAGCAGGCGTCAGGGACAGGATCGAGCCCACGACCTCCTGTTTACAAGGTGAGATCGTTAACATCTCGCCAACGCGGCGCCCCACGGCGGCGTATTAACCCAGGGCGGCCTGCCGGATTCGAACCGCGAACCTCCGGGACCGCCGTGTCAGCGGCGCACCTTGCGGAACGTGGAGCGCACGCGGGGCTTGAAGTCGCCAAAGATGCCGCTCGGAAGCCGCTTGAGCCAAACCCAGTCGCCCTGCAGACGCACGCACAGACGCACGCGCAGACGCCACGACGCATCTCCACGGTGTCCCTACGCGCCTCCCTGCGTCTGTCCTCATCTCTCCGTGTCCGCATGACCCCCGAGTCTCCGTGTCCCCCCATACCTCCCCCGCCCCCCCGTGTCTATGTGTCTCCCCGTGTAACCCCTTGTCACTGTGTCCACGTGTAATTTTGTCTCCATGATTCTCCCCCTTTGCCCCCGAGTCTCCGTGTCCCCATCTCCCCGTATCTCAGTGTCCCCCTGTACCCACATTTCCATGTCCCCATGCCCCCACGGCTCGCTGCATCCCCATGTCCCAGTATCCTCCTCCCCCCCCCCCCGCTCGTGTTCTTGTGTCTCCCCCGTATCTCCGTGTCTCCCTGAATCCCCCCGGTATATCCGTGTCCCAACGTCTCCGTGTCTCCCCATGCCCCCCCTCCCCATATCTCCGTGTCCCCATGCCCCCGTGTATCTCCGTGTCCCACCCCCCGTATCTCTATGTCCCCATGTCTCTCCGTGTGGCCCCGGTGTCTCCGTGTCCTCCCGTATCTCATTGTCCCCATGCCCCCGTGCATCTCCGTGCCCCCGTGTCTCCCCGTGTTTGTCCGCGTCCCCGTGTCTCACCTCGTAGACGGCGATGTTGGTTGTCTCCGGCGACGCCGTGTGGAGGCTGCGCCCCGACAAGGAGTTGCGTGCGGCGTGGGCGGCGCTGTTCGCCTCCGACACGCTGCGGTTCATCTGGCTCACGCGGCTCTCGTCCATAAACTGCACCGCGCACGCCACACCGCACAGGGCACCGCTCACCACACCGCTCACCACACCGCACCAGGTCCGGATCGAACCCATGACCTCGTGTATACCAGAGGAGGCAATCAACATCTCCTAGCCACCGCGTCTCGCCTCTCGCTGCGCCCTAACCGGGCAGGGTGGTGGGTGGCTCCATCACGACCACAACCTCCTCCCCCCCCCCCCTACGGAGCACCGGGACGTCCGCACCTTGCGGCTGAGCTGCGGCAGGATGAAGACGAGGTGCTCCAGGGTGAGGATCAGCTTGTTGTGGCTGTGGTCCAACTGCTGCTGCAGCCGCCGCCTGGAGGGGAAAACACGGTCCAAGCGGGGACGCGTTCGTTGGATAGAAGAGATAGAGAGAGAGACAGACAGAGATAGAGAGATAGACAGAGAGACAGAGAGAGAGACAGAGAGATAGAGAGAGAGACAGAGAGATAGCGAGAGAGAGACAGAGAGATAGAGAGAGAGACAGAGAGAGATAGAGAGACAGAGAGATAGCGAGACAGAGAGACAGAGAGATAGACAGAGAGGCAGAGAGATAGCGAGAGATAGACAGAGAGAGACAGATAGACAGAGAGAGAGACAGATAGACAGATAGACAGAGATAGACAGAGAGAGACAGATAGACAGATAGACAGAGAGACAGATAGACAGAGAGACAGAGATAGACAGAGAGAGACAGATAGACAGAGAGACAGAGAGACAGAGATAGACAGAGAGAGACAGATAGACAGAGAGACAGATAGACAGAGAGACAGAGATAGACAGAGAGAGACAGATAGACAGAGAGACAGATAGACAGAGAGATAGCGAGAGAGAGACAGAGAGACAGAGAGACAGAGAGACAGAGAGACAGATAGACAGAGAGACAGAGAACGACAGAGAGAGACAGATAGACAGATAGACAGAGAGACAGAGAGATAGCGAGAGAGAGACAGAGAGACAGAGAGACAGAGAGACAGAGAGACAGAGAGATAGCGAGAGAGAGAGACAGAGAGACAGAGAGACAGAGAGACAGATAGACAGAGAGACAGAGATAGACAGAGAGAGACAGATAGACAGATAGACAGAGAGACAGAGATAGCGAGAGAGAGACAGAGAGATAGCGAGAGAGAGACAGAGAGATAGCGAGAGAGACAGAGAGAGAGACAGAGAGACAG